AATTAGTTTTATTACATAAATTGCAATTTATTTAAAATGCCAAGTTCAAGGAACTGCCTTGTCACTATGATCATACATGGAAGTGGAGCCTATAGTTTTTTTTCAATAAATAAATCTAATTTATATTTACATAATATTACAAGCATTACATATAACACTGAAATGGTAAAAAAAAATGCAAATTATTATTAATAATATCCAATAAATGTCAGTCACCCAAAATTACGTCATTGGTGTTACTGCTACACAAAACGCTTTTATTTTTGAAGTAATGTACTGTCTCTGAAGTGCCTCCTGTAACAAGAGATCATTTGAGGCAGTGCAGTGGACAAAGACATAAGGAAAGTCAGATACTTCTTACTTTGTTTGTTAAAGGTGTCATTTTATCTTCAAATTGTACGTGCGTCTTTCAAGTCTGTCATTAGTGTTACTCATTTCATAGCCCTATGTGAACATTTGAATGGGAAAATGTATTGTATTGAAGAGTTAAACGATTTTGATATTGACTGAAGCCATATTTGGTCTGACACATGGCAGCAAATTTGTTAAAATTGTAGTGTTTTCTCCAAATTGTCACTTGTGTTACCTGGTGTTACTCTTCTTCCTGGTAACACGTAACACCAGTGGCATTCCTATATAAATAAGCTTTGTATAATGTATACAAATAATAAAAATAGTCATTAAGTTAAGAGTTAGTTATTGCTATTTAACAGGTTTTAGATGTGTTTAGAAGGAATATGTTTCAGCAGATTTGTATCACCCAGATTCCACCTTTTCTGTAGAATGACCCAGTTATTAGATATTTTTTGAAATAAGGACCTTGTAATTATAAGATTTTACAATAAAAAAGAAGAAATCAAGGCGTGGTGCTGTGGGTCAAACGTACTATAGCAGTGATTATTTAAGTTTGAAATGATTATATGAAGGCCATGTAATACAGAAATACGTTTTATTTAAAAAAATAAAAACAATTGGAAGGCTTTTTCATAATTATTCGAATCTCAAGTGCCAATTATCATA